CCTTGTCCCCTAACTGCCCCCTCCTGAGATTCCCCCCACCCTAACTGCCCCCCTAGAACCCTACCCATACCCTGACTGCCCAAAACCTTACACCCCCAACCCCCAGACAGTCCCCCCCAAACTCCTGACCCATCCAACCCTGCTCCCTGTCTCTTGACTGCCCCCTCCAGAACCACCCTGCCCCTTCTCCGACCCCTTGGCCCCCTTACCGCGCCGCTCAGAACAGAGTGCTGTGGAGCGGCGCGCTGGGCAGCAGGGGAGGGTGAGCAGGGGAGGAGCTCCAGACTGCCGGAGGCCCGAGGCGAACGGCTGCTGGCGATCTGCGAATGCAGGGAGGGGGAGGGGAGTGGTCTCAAGTTGCAGGGGAGAGGAGGGGGAAGCGGAGGAGGGGCTCTGGATGTCAGAGCTACGTGCGAGTGGCACAATCCGGCCAGCTGCCCTGTCAGCCGCGCGCGCTCTGCATGGGGGGGAAGTCCGGACATTTACAAATTCCCCCCGGATGCTATTTTTAACTAAAAAAAGCCAGACATGTCCGGCAGAATCTGGACGAATGGTAACTCTAATCTCTATCTTAAAAAGTGCTCTACAATACAAAAAATGTGAGACCCACTGTAGTGGAACTACACCATGATAACAGTCTTGCATGCGTCACTTGAAGCCAACACCACTATTCGCTAATGAGATAAATATGTCAAATGAAAAGCAAACACAAGGAAATAGCTCCTGAACCTTGGACAATACATTCATTAGCCTGATCCCGGAAATGTAACACTGATTCAGACGTTCCAAAGATTGAATCACCTTTGTTTCTGGGCTGTATCCTGCACTAACAGGACAAGGGGGAAAATATCAAATTAAACCTGATTATTTTTATTTTTATATTTCAGGGTTCAACTCTAGCAACTTGCCAGGATACTGAACTAGATGGAATGCTGGTTGATCCACTATGGCAATTTCTGTGCTCCTAGGATTCCAGCATCTTTCCCGAATCAGTTACAACTCAGTTGTGACGCCTAATTCCCCACAAAAAAGATATCTTTTAAATGTATTGCGTAGGGACAGATTTTTCATGAGAACATAGCTGATTGAGGGTTAGAAGACTAACAAGCAATGCCTTAAAATCAGGGAGCCCAAAAGAGAGCTGTCTTGGGAACCTGCTTAAAATGGAACACACTGTTGAAGGAAAAAGACCAGGTAGGGACCATCGAATTGTGGAGGTAAATGCGTGGTTACGCAGGTGGTGTCGGAGAGAAGGCTTTGGATTCTTCGACCATGGGATGTTGTTCCAGGAAGAAGGATTGCTAGGAAAAGATGGAATCCACCTAACGAAGAGAGGGAAGAGCATCTTCGCAGGCAGGCTTGCTAACCTAGTGAGGGGGGCTTTAAACTAGGTTCGCTGGGGGATGGTGACCTAAGCCTGAAGGTAAGTGGGGAAGTGGGATACCGTGAGGAAACACAATGAAGAAGGTGCAACTGGGGAGGCCTCCTGATTCATACTGAAAAAGTAGGGCAACCGGCTAGTTATCTTAGGTGCCTGTACACAAACGCAAGAAGCCTGGGAAACAAGCAGGAAGAATGGGAAGTCCTGGCACAGCCAAGGAACTATGAGGTGACTGGAATAACAGAGACTTGGTGGGTAACTCATATGACTGGAGCACTGTCATGGAGAGGTATAAACTGTTCAGGAAGGACAGGTGGGGGAGAAAAGATGGAGGAGTTGCACTGTATGTAAGGGAGCAGTATGATTGCTCAGAGCTCCAATATGAAACTGGAGAAAAGCCTGTTGAGAGTCTCTGGGTTAAGTTTAGAGGTGAGAGCAACAAGGATGGTGCTATAGACCGCCAGACCAGGAGAATGAGGTAGACGAGGACTTCAATCACCCTGACCTCTGCTGGGAGATCAATACAGCAGTTCACAGACAATCCAGGAAGTTTTTAGAAAGTGTTGGGGACAACTTCCCGGTGCAAGTGCTGGAGGAACCAACTAGGGGCTGTGCTCTTCTTGACCTGCTGTTCACAAACAGGGAAGAATTGGTAGGGGAAGTAGAAGTGGGTGGCAACCTGGACAGCAGTGACCATGAGATGGTTGAGTTCAGGATCTTGACAAAAGGAAGAAAGGAGAACAGCAGAATGCGGACCCTGGACTTCGGAAAAGCAGATTTTGACTCCCTCAGGGAACTGATGGGCAGGATCCCCTGGGAAACTAATATGAGGGGGAAAGGAGTCCAGAAGAGCTGGCTATATTTTAAAGAAGCCTTATTGAGGGTGCAGGAACAAACCATCCCGATGTGCAGAAAGAATAACAAATATGGCAGGTGACCAGCTTGGCTTAACAGAGAAATCTTTGGTGAGCTTAAACACAAAAAGGAAGCTTATAAGAAGTGGAAACTTGGACAGATGACTGGGGAGGAGTATAAAAATACTGCTCGAGCATGCAGAGGTGTAATCAGGAAGGCCAGACAGAGCACAACTGGAATTGCAGCTAGCAAGGGACATGAAGGGTAACATGAAGGGTAACAGAAGGGTTTCTACAGGTGTGTTAGCAACAAGAAGGTGGCCAGGGAAAGTGTGGGATCCTTACTAAATGGGGGAGGCAACCTAGTGACAGATGATGTGGAAAAAGTTGAAGTACTCAATGCTTTTTTTGCCTTGGTCTTCACAGACAAGGTCAGCTCCCAGACTGCTGTACTGGGCAGCACAGTATGGGGAGGAGTGAGTAGCCCTTCAGTGGTGAAAGAACAGGTTAAGGACGATTTAGAAAAGCTGGACATGTACAAGTCCAGGGAGCATCCAAGGTACTGAGGGAGTTGGCTAATGTGATTGTACAATCATTGGCATTATCTTTGAAAACTCATGGCGATCGGGGGAGGTCACGGACAACTGGAAAAAGACAAATATAGTGCCCATCTTTAAAAAAGGGAAGGAGGACAATCCGGGGAACTACAGACCAGTCAGCCTCACTGCAGTCCCTGGAAAAATCATGGAGCAGGTCCTCAAGGAATCCATTTTGAAGCACTTGGAGGAGAGGAAGGTGATCAGGAACAGTCAACATGGATAGATAAATTGGAGGATTGGGCTAAAAGTAATCTGATGAGGTTCAACAAGGACAAATGCAGAGTCTTGCACTTAGGACAGAAGAATCCCATGCACTGCTATAGGCTGGGGACCGACTGGCTAAGCGGTAGTTCTGCAGAAAAGAACCTGGGGATAACAGTGGACGAGAAGCTGGATATGCATCAACGGTGTGCCCTTGTTGCCAAGAAGGCTAACGGCATATTGGGTTGCAAAAGTAGGAGCATAGCCAGCAGATTGAGGGAAGTGATTATTCCCCTCTATTCAGCACTGGTGAGGCCACATCTGGAGTACTGCGTCCCGTTTTGGGCCCCCCACTACAGAAAGGATGTGGATAAACTGGAGCAAGTCCAGAGGAGGGCAACAAAATGATTAAAAGCTGGGGCACATGACTTATGAGGAGAGGCTGAGGGAACTGGGCTTATTTAGTCTGCAGAAGAGAAGAGTGAGGGGGGATTTGATAGCAGCCTTCAACTACCGGAAGAGGGGTTCCAAAGAGGATGGAGCTAGACTGTTCTCAATGGTGGCAGATGACAGAACAAGGAGCAATGGTCTCAAGTTGCTGTGGGGGAGGTCTAGGTAGGATATTAGAAAATACTATTTCACTAGGAGGATGGTGAAGCACTGGAATGGGTTACCTAGGGAGGTGGTGGAATCTCCATCCGTAGAAGTTTTTAAGGCCCGGCTTGACAAAGCCCTGGCTGGGATGATTTAGTTGGGGTTGATCCTGCTTTGAGCAGGGGGTTGGACTAGATGACCTCCTGAGGTCTCTTCCAACCCTAATCTTCTATGATTCTATGAACAGCAATACTAATTCTCACTGAACACACACGGTATGGTATCCACACAGTTTAGTGAAAGCTGAAAGGTCTCTCTTACCTGGGAATGCATTGATATCAATGACTGCATGCTGGCCGGTCTGATTGTTAATGATAATGTCAATCCCAAAGAGGGAAACTCCCAGAGCCTGTCTCAGTGCCTTGGAGATCTCCCGGATGACGTCGTCATTTGGCCGTTCAAACACACCTTCGATTTTATCAAGCTACAGTGAAAAAGACAAAGAGAAACAACTGAGGGGTTCTGAACTGGGCCCTCTCTTTAGTATACGCGTTGATTTACAGAGCTTCCCCATTCTATATTCTGCAGGATCCAACTGCAGGGAAGAAGCCACAAGAGCTTTTCTTGATTCTGCATCCTATATACAGTAAAAGTTAGGCTCATCTATTGTACTCAGTGGGCCTGATTCTCTATTTGTTACACTGGTGTAACTCCATGGAAATCAGTGGATACACACACCAGCGTCAAGCTGAATGGAGAATTAGGCCCAGTATCTTAAATATTAGACACACATTTTAAAATCAGAAGAAAACTGCAGCCTCTACTCCTGCACTGCAGATATTCTGCCTTTCATCATGTACGTTTGATAAGCCAATCTAAAATTAAACCTGCCTTAAGGGACTGATTAAGGGGCTGACAAGAATGAGTTACTTAACAGAAGGTGTTAAGGTGCATCACTACTGCGCTCAGCATTTTGGGGCATTGCTCAGGGCAGTTGTTTAATAAGGGAGGTCTGGGTTTGAAGTCTGAGTTATTTTAGAACAGTTTATTATTAAGAGTGACTCGGGTCACTTGTGAATGTGAAATTTAATCACACTCATTTCTTAGCCAAGAGGTTGAGCAATACAAGTACCGTTTTGTGTACAGAACAGCTGTGTATATATCCAAAAACATGTATAAACATACACTCATCACAAAATTTAGCCACTGGAAGGGATTTATGATTAGTTCAGTGACATGAATAATATTTAGCATGTCAATTAGTGGGACATTGCAATTCTACATCTGGTCACTGTATTAAACTTTTGACTACAAACCAACTAGATCACATGAACCAGAGAAGAATCTGGAGACACACTATGGGCTCAATCCTGCAAGATTACTTTAGTGGGAGTTGAGAGTGCTCAGCACCTTGCAGGATCCACCTTTACCTTGGCTATTAACAGGGCTAGTCGTAAACACAATAAAGGTGTGCTTGGGGTTAATGTACTCTGAGGGTATAAATAAAGAGGTGTGGCCTACTGCTCAGAGCTCAGGAATGCTTACATTTTAGGTGCATATCTTCACGGTCTTGGGCAACTCACTTAACTTCTCTGCTTTGGGTTTTCAAATGGGGATACCACTCCCTTACCTCCAGGAGTGCTATAAGGATTCATTAAGGCTTATAAAATTCTCTGGAGATGAAAGGTACTAGAAATTATTACTCAGGAAATTTCCTTTCCCCATCTGGGCTCGCTTTCAGTTAAGGCAAAGCACAGCAAAGCAGCAGACAGACATGCAGCAGCATCTCTGCTCCCACAACGGAAAGGAGAAAAACCTTGTAAGGGCTATCAAATGAACAGGGAAACAGCTTTAAATCGTGCTGGTTCTAAGTAGCAAACAGATCTCAATTTGCTATCTGGGAGCTGACAGGGCACAATTCATGTACAAGAGTCACTATTCATTAATAGCTTCATAAGAAAAAGAGATTTGTTTTCTATCAATGTTAAAAAAAAGACCTGGATTACTTACTGCTGTTAAGACAGAGGAGGATTCTGGCTTCGACACATTGTGGCTGTTGAAAAATATTGATTCTCTATCTGAAATTAAAAGGAAGTTATAAATGAATTGATAGTTGGATTTGAATTTTAAAAGGATTGGTTTATACTGTATGTAACACTAGGTGGCAGTGCAACCCCGGGGAATCTAATCCAGCTCAATGGCTGATAATGTCCTCTGCTCTGTCATGGGGGGCATAGATCAGCGTGCCTGTCAGTATCTGGCCCAAGCTGGGGAAGCTAATGATCCAACCAGCGGACCAAATTTGCTGATGAATCGTGGTCACGTGCCATCTGAGGCACATTGTGCATGCAAGAGGAAGCTTTGCACGACAGTTGTGCAAAGCTTCCTCTTGCACATAGGCACCTGGCCATGGCAGAAAACCTAGCCCAAGACCCACACAGCTTCAAGATTTCAGGACACAGATAAGGTAAATAAAACATGGGTGTGTGTGTATTATATAGAACTGGTTTCATTTCTGCAGTCAAATAAATCCCACTCATTAAAGAACGTTTTCTGTAAATTAATGAAATAATTCCTAGGAAATTGTTAGGAATTAAAGTGACCATTCAACTGAAAACGTGCAAGATTTCATTTACATGACAGATGGGAAAAGCAGATGATTTCACCGTTGGCACTAGATCCACCCAAGCAAGTGCAGGGGAGATGTAAATTATACTGCCCTGTACCCCAGGTGGACCCCCATGACTAAGAGAGCAAAATTCACCCCAGTGGGGGGTAGGCATGAAGGATCTTTAATTTGAAGACACCACAGCAGCCCTGCCATGGAGGCTGCTCAGGGAATTGTATTAGCACATTCTCCGGCCATGCACCCTCCCAGGCCAATTTATCCTCCTAGAGGACCCCTCCAACGGGGGTTAGAGGGGTGGCGGGGGGGAGAAATGTTGTGGCAGCATTCCATTATGACAACCTGTCCTCTTGGGTTTACCAGAGGACACCGCCATGGTATACATAAACCCAGATGTGAATCTGGGACAGCATCAAACCAAACATAATGTTGAATGTGCAGAGTTATCACACACTTGCAGCATGATGTAGGATGTGTTTCTACTAGGCTGCTCCCTCCACAGACTGGATCACGGCAGCTAATCACAGCCACAGGCTTACTGCGCTTTATTATGGGAAAGATGCAGGAATCATGGGAGGCAAAACCAAAACAATCTGTGACCTTTGGTAGCATGTTAGAGAGCAGTAGCCAAGATCTGAGGCAGGTTTTTTAAGTGCTCTGTGGCCTGATTTTCAGAGGCGCCCAGCAGCTGCATCTCCCACAGGTGGGGGGCTCAGCAGCTCTGAAAACCAGCCAGTGTGTGCTTAGCTGTCCATAACTATGCACGTTCCCGAGAAGCACGGGCAGGTTAGAGTTGGACTTGGGCAAAGCTGGTGGGAACACAAATACAAATCTGACTTAGCAGAGGCCGAATATCCCACGTTGGCTTTTTAAATAAAAGGAATGTCAAGATAAGTCCCGAGATATTGTTTCAAAGGGGACCGAACGCCTTCTAGCGCTCCACGCCGACCAATCTAACCAATGCAATCCTCCTAGGCAGAGGAACGAATGCCAGGGAGCGTGAAGAAGGGCAGGAGCAAAGAAGCAGCCCCAGAAGGAAAAGACGCCTATTTGTTAAAAATCCTCACGACACAAATGACAAACGTCCCACAAGCTCTCTGTTGAGCTTTATTCTTCCTATTCCAGTGCTAATCACCGAAGGAGGAAGTGCTGCTCAGGAGGTGGAGCCAAGGGGCAGAAATTCAAATAGCCTGTCTATGCTCCTACTTTGTAAGACTTCACATTTCGCCAACCAGCTACTGTAGACTCTTGAAACAGTCAGACCTGCTTGATCCCTTGCTCATAACATGTCCCTTGCCAGCAGCAGATTTTAGGCCAAGAAATCCAGATTTGGAATCCAGGGATTCACTGAAACCAGTCTGCAAATTTCATTTTTACATGGGATTCAAAATAATATTAAAACTTTAGACTAACAAGCTAATGGTTGCATCTAAGGCACTGTCCTTCATAAAGATGCCTTAAAATTAGTTGATGCTTCAGTACATTTCCCTAATGCTAATTTCTCACACTAGCTGATAAACGTATCACTATTTCACTCATACTAGTCCCACTAAAGATTTTCTGCTTCCTATAGTCCATTGAATGTAGTTTCTCAGTTCCTCAGGCTTCACAACAGAAAGCTGTTCTTCTTCCAAAAAGGAAATTGCAGCAGACTCAATTAATACCCTTCAAATGGTCTCTGTTGATTTATAACTATACCTGTTGATAACTACAGGAGGACCATTAGTCCAGCAGCTCCATTCCGCTTATCCCAAAAATAGTTTCCAACTAGAACCAAATGAAAATGATCAACTGTATTTCCCCTGAGAATGTCAAGAACTGGCCTTCACATGAACAAACCTAGAGGCTCCTGCATGGGAGAACTCAACTGCTCTTACTTTAAACACAAACAAAAAATGAACAAGGTAAAGACAGGGACAGGAAGTTCCAAAATGATGGAATCCAGGAATTTCCCTCTATCTTGCAATTATAACTCAAGAGCAAATGACAAATGAACCTACTGACTGTTTAGAGAGTTTCTAGTAAAGGAGCTTTCTCCACTTCCACAATGACATAAAACACAGCTTTTAACAGGTAAGATTCAGGTTAATTTCACATAAACATTTACTATTCACATGTATTCCAGAGCAGATGAGTTATCTCCCTTCCTGTTGAAATAACACAGAGGAGGAAATACAGCATGTAAAAAGCAGATGCTTTAATTTTAGCAGCCTATTCAAAAACATTTTTCATTCAGGATCTCTGCTGCCAAGGGCCTCTGAGCTCATGCTAGCAGTTAAGCTGGTGCACACAGGCACTTTACCTGAAATGCCTGCCGAGAAGTTCTTTAAAGATGGTCTTTTTACCACAGTGTAGGATTCCCCAACCACAAACACTTTATACAGCACAGCGTTGTGATTGATGAAGCTCTGAATCACGCAGGGGGGCTGGATGGCCTTCAAGCCTTCCTGGTTGAATATGATTGCCATCTGAAACACAAAATGCAAACAGTTCTCCACAAGGATTTGGGCTTTCATTTATTTCACATTGTCTGGCTGAAATATGTGATCTGGGAAAAATCTATCCAGGGATAATAACCAAGTGCAAATCCCTTCTCATCAGCTAGCTTCTCTTTTATTACATTTACTTCTGCAAACCAAGTGCAAATCCCTTCTCAGCAGCTACCTTCTCTTTTATTACATTTACTGCTGCAATAAGCCTAAGTCCCTGAGGGTGTTATCAGCGTGGCTTTCAGTTGCACACACCATCATTTTAAATTAAGATTCTTTTTAACATGTACAATGGCATTTTATCTTTGTTAGTTATGTAACAATCCCAATTTCGTTTTTAATTTAAAATAAATAAAATATCTGAGTGACAGAACCTGGAAAATACCCATCAGATTATACAGGGAATCAGAGAGATGAAGAAATAGATGTATTAGGTCATCCTGACCTTCTTTGCCAATGAAAGTTGTTCCCTACAGTTCTTTTTTTGGTTCGGTCCAGGTTTAAATCTCGCAAGCAACTGTGGTTTCTGCCACTTCACTGAGAGATTCTTTCAGAGTCTAACCGCCCTCTCTGCTAGGCAATGCTCAGCCAACATTTGCCTTGGCTCAGTTTCATCCCATCGCCCACATCGTAGAGCCCCCTTAAATGAATGACACAGGGACTGGAAGAAATATGCCACAGAGAAAGTCATTTAGCGGCTCAACGATGAACAGCGGCTGGCTCAAACCTAGCCCATATAAGATGGAAGGGATGCTGATGGGTAAAAGGAAACACTCTGAAGAGCCAGCAGAATCCACATCACGTGATACACAGTTCCACACTTGGGCACCCTGACTAAGTCACTGGCCAGAAATGCTTATTCACATCTTTAATTAGCTTGAAGGCTATGCCCGCTCTTTGTGGGCAAAGACCCGGCTGCAGCGATCCATGATCTTGTCACTTTGAAAAGGGACTACTAGTTTTCCTATTGAGTTCAAATCGGCCCAGAATAATGCCCAGAGAGTTTAAGTGATTTGTCCTAGGTCACAATGGCAGAGTTCAGAACACCGCTTATGAGCCCTGACTCTGAATCCCTCTCAAAGATAGCCATTTCTCTCCATAAACTCTGCCCCTTTTCTTGCTTTCTACAATTAACTGGATCTCAGCAAAGTCAGGCTAACCGGAGGGATTTTACAAATTGCATACCATGGAACACTTTCTATCTCCTCTATGTGTACCTGTCAATTTGATTTATGTTGTACTCTTAGTTTATGGAGCTTTTTCTGAATTCATGTTAGCTTTCTAGTTTGTTCCTGTATAATAAGATGATAAATATTTCAACAAAAAGTAATACTTTTAGTCAAATAAGCAATGGGATGACTATACATTTATGACTAAAGGGCTGAGAACATGTTTGTCTCTAGCAAACTGCTTATTATTCTGTTCTCTTCTATATCTGGCAGACCATATGAGATCACATAATTTTCTGCATGCATACACAATCAGAAGATTCTCTAACATTTTCTGAGCGCAAGTTAGTGCATGTAGCCAATGCCTATTTGCAACTGATTTTTTTACTCTATCATTATTCTACTAGATGCTATCTATTTGGCAGTCCATATCCAATATGCGCATGTTAATAACCTGTGCAAGCAGGCTTCTGTAACTAAGTTGGATGGGGCCTCTAGACACAACTCCAATACTATACACAGAGGTTAAGCATCTTGCCTAAGGCCACAGAGAGGACAACTGAACTACAGTTACTTGCTTCCAGTCCTGTGCTCAAGTCACTGGACGTGCTGTTTTCACATCAGGAGCTTTCAACAAACAAAACATTCCATGTTTCTCAAGCAGCCATTCTCCACATGTGGCTATTACAGGAGAGATTGCCATCTGACAGTAAATGAGCCCCAATACTACCCCTGGGGGAACATGGCAACTTCAACAATGGTTCTGCTCCAGAGGGACTGAAGTGTCATGCAGGCCCTCAGGCATCGCTGAGGACACCAACCTGTGCAGTAATGATCAGCTCCCATGAAAAGCCACAGAAGTACAACTCTATTTGAGCATCACATCTTGCAGATGTTGGGATTCTAGCAGAAAACTTAAATAAGTCAGTACTTTTCATAAGAACTGCAAGGAGGGGCTTATCACGGTAATGAAATTCCATGCTAACTCATTAGGCACTGAAAGCTTTGTGCATTTCAGGTGGCAGTTACAGGAGAACCAGCAGCAGGGTCACATGATTCTGATCTCCAAAAGAATAGTATCTGAAAAATTGAGTGGCCAGCAGCTATCAGTCAATCCCTTAATTAAACTCCCAAGGGACCTATGTGCCTTGTCTTTGTAAAACAGGATGCATGGTCCAACTGAAAAATGATTTCTTTAACAGTGAATATTGGTCACTCCTCATTTTACCAACAGGCACCCTGTTCCTTTAGATCTGCATTTCACTCCAGGGCCCTTCGTTCTCAAGAGTGCTGCAGATTTTAGAAGGAGCTGGGAAACTTGGATGTGGCCATAGATAAGTTGTGAATGAAAGAACGAATGAAAGAAAATATTTATTTACAGGGAGTAGGGCCTGGATTCTCACACTGGGATTTGAAGAGGAGGGAGACAAGAAAGCTATAGGAGAATGAGCTGAAATAGGGTTTCTCGACCTCTGCTCCCAAGATTCTGGAAAAGGTGGAGGTGCTTCACCTCAGGTTCCCTATATTTATGGCCAGCTAAATGCACAGGAGATTGACTTACATCAGGAATAGTCATTTCAGTTATGGCCACCTCCCTGAAAGGGCAGGGAAGGAGATGCTTCTCCCAGCCCAATCCTTTCCACTCTCCCTTCCCACCTCATGAAGAGAACTGGGACTATGTGTGGCTCTGTCCCTACTTGCTTCTCCCTTCTCCTTCCCCCTGCCATGAAGAGGAGTGCGAGAGGGCTGCTTCTCCTCACCCATCTTCTCCCCATGCCTATCTCACTGAAGAGAAGACACTGGGCAGCCCTTCTACCCGGAAACAGGATCAAAGGCTCAACATTTCAGAACCAATTCTCATCATCAGCACCACACAATGGAGCTGAGAGATAGGGGGCGAGGGGGGAGAAGACCCAATTGGCCTAATCTCCCACCAAAGGGAAGATTGAAGAAGGAAGGACTCACAAGCCCAGCTCTTGCCTCACTCTGTTGCTAGAGATGGAACTTCTGCTCAAGGGCGATAAGCCCTGTTTAAACTGAGCCCAAGTAACCTTACAAAAGGTATCTGAAGTAAGGACATGTAAGGGGGGAGGGGAAGTAGTTTGGGGGATAACAATCATTCTATTATTGCACAGTAGAGCTCCCAACCAACCCATAAGCAGTCAGGAGAGGATAAAGCTGACTGAAGCCCCAGAGGTCTTTTACTCACCTCATGAGAGTTGGTTCCATGGGCCACTCTGGTTTTACAAACTGTAAATGAAGGGGGAAAAAAAAAGGGAGAGAGAGTGATTGAGCGAAACGGGCCACACACAAAACTCTTTGTACCACCTGTTCCCAACCCATATAGCAGTTCACAAGGCTAAGACCTCAACGGTACCAGCTAGACTTGCTAGAGCTCACTGTCTCAACTCTATGTGCTGTCCATTGCCATGGAGTTTGGACTGCTCCAGACCCGTGTCTCTTACCTGCTATTCTGGAACTGGAGTGATACGCACTGGGTTAGAGTACACAGAACACAGGAGAAGACAGGCAGCACTAGCACCAAGGGCTCAGCACAGAAGCTGATCATTTAGGTGGGAAGGTAGCACAAGGCACCAGTTACGAATGCCTGAAATAGCAGTGCCAGTGTTCATAACTCTCGTGATTTCTTTGTGAGTCACTTGATTTCAGCTGGGGCTCAAGTCAGCCTGGCGATCATGTGAACAGTGCCAGTCCTCTTGTGCAAACCCGCTCTGAATGGCTGTCTTCCCCACTTGCCTGCTGCCTTCTGGGGAAGAGCAGCCAGCCAGGACTGTGCATAAAGCAGGAAGAGCTCTGTCTCCCTCTCATCACCAGCCCACTCCATTCTCACACGAGGGTGCAGAAAGTGCTCTCGGCAGTTCAGAGCAGCTCCACTTCCTTCTTCCCTCTGCCCAGCTGTGAACAGTCGGTCAGCCTGCTCTCTGCTAGCGCTCTCCATCCCTACAACACCAGGCTTGACAAGGGGGAAGGGGAGGAACCGGCTGCAGTTACTCCCCAGACCTGGAAGAGTGGGGTGAAGAACCCAGGAGCTGCAGGAGCAGCAGAGGTTAGGCTAGAAGGGCGGAATTGATGCGATAGGCAGATGCGAGGGCAGAACTAATGAGGGAGCTGGGGGGGGACAGGATTGATTTGAGGGATGGGGCAGAATTAATTGCTGTGCAGGGTGTGGGAGCTCCTACAGAGAGGATTCTCCTTAGTACAATTGAGAGAGTGGACAACACTAATCATCATCACACATACATACAGGGGATGGGCAGGTGGAGATAAAAATAATCATCAAAAGACAGACAAAAAAACCCCACAGCATAATCTCTCTTTAAAAAGATCTCATGGTGGTGGGTTTGTTTGTTTTGGGGGGGGGGAGGGGGAGGAGGTCTGACTTCTCGCTGTTGAATCTTGGGGTTGGCAAAACTGCAGTCCGAGTGGCTGGGAACCACTGCTGTGCAGTTTGACCACCTCTGTGCTGCAGAACCAGACTGCTGCTAACCAGTCTATAATGTGAATGAACTGCGGAGTCGAAATCATTCAGCTGGCTATAGGGTGTTGCTTCACAGTATAACTTCATGAGATCTGCATCTCATTTCAGTGAGAAGAGGGCAATACAATAATTGTTTTACCTCAGTAACTTACAAACAAAGTACTGCAGCTTAAGGGTTTGTCTACACTGGCACTTCATCGACAAAACTTTTATCGTTCAGGGGTGTTAAAAGAACACACACTTCTGAACAACAAAATTGTTACCAACGAAAAGCACCAGTGTGAACAGCGCTTTGTCGGCAGGAGCGCTCTCCTGATGACAAAGCCGCTGCCGCTCATGGGGGGTGGAAGTTTTTTTGTCAGCAGGTGAGCTCTCTCCAGCCGACAAACATCAGCTACACTGCGTGCCTTTTAGTGGCATAGCTGTGTCGCAAAAAGCCTCGTAACGTAGCCATAGCCTAATACAGGAGACTAAGTCACAGAGCAGACACCACTTCTGTTCATTTTACACTGATGGGATCAAATGAGGAAAGGAATAAAAAAAATCTCAGTGTGGATGTCTGTTACAATGGGACAATCAGCTTACTGCAGCTGCCTGAGGCTGCAGCCCTCAAACCTGCCTTACACACTTTATTATTATTTTTTTTTAATTTCCTGGCATTTAAAAGGCACATTTTCCATCTGGATTTTGGGGTAGGGGAAAAAATTATTCTCTTGAGGAAAAACAGTGAGCATGGCTGGTGGGAGCAACCTCCTGAGCAGGTTCAAGACAACAGTATAAATGTTATAACTACCAGGATTTCCCAAGAACTTGGCTTTGTTTACTGCAGTGCGGTGTTTGAGGTAGAGAACATCCAGAGGGAGCTCTTCAAAAGCTTGTGGGGAGAGATATTGTTCTACATACCAACTGTTCAGTTTAACGGTGCTAATTATAGAAAGGTTCTAGTGTCCCTGATGAAGAAACATGCAGTTCTACATTGGTTACAGTGCTCTTAAAGGGCAAATGTTCAGAATATGTGATAAAAAGCCTGTTTACATACTGAATGGGAATGCTAATCCATTCTTCTCTATGACCTGCAAGGTGTCTTCTCCACAGGCGCTTGTCAGCTCCATAAAGGGTGGTGAACAGATCCTCTCATCTGCAAGACAAAAAGAGGAGTCAAATGGAAAACTGGGGCTTTTGACTCCCAGTTCAGGTCATTATTGGCTCTCTCCACAGTAGCTGTTTTCTTTCCTAGTTATTCCACTAAGAGATTAAAGCAAAGCACTTGTAAGATCATTCGCCAAACATGGATTTGGGATTCTGGGATCATTAGAATGGATAAAGGCCCCAATTTACAGACCCACTTTGAAGGAAACAGAAATGAAAGGACAAAATGTTCACAAGTAGCCACGCAAAATCACTGCCCACTTTTGAAAATTTAGCTGCATATTACTCACCCAAGGACACAGCACAGAATAGAGCCCAAATCTTGCCTCATAATCTATTGTTTTAAGGTAAAATTCTCAAGTGTCTAAGTGACTGCATATCTTCACTCCAGGTGATAAGAACCCAGGTTAGCCTAGCCAACAAATGACCAGCCACACTGCAAAGCCACACTTTAGTATGTCAACTTGATTGTATCCACGCTGCTGCTGTAGGACTTCTGTGGTCATATCCCATGGTTACTAGCATTGCAGTAAGCCAAGCCTCTCTAGGATTCTTTCCTAGTGAATTGTGTGAGAACTTGTCTGTCCTTCTGGCCCTGGGCACATGGGGGTGGGAGTGAGGGTTGTGGGAAGGCAAGGACTAGTAGTGGCAGAATTGATTAGCCTGTATCCACACTGCAAAGTGGGGGGTTACCAGCCCAAGTGTAAGCAGCACATAGGCTCTAGCCTATAGCCCCAGATGAGACAGCTAGCCTGGGTTGAAAGCAGAGTGACCACCTTTTCAAAAGGCAAAAGTGAGACAACTGCAGGAGCCTCCCTACCTACCTCGAAGGCCTGCCCCTGTTCCTCCTCTTCCCCCCAAGCCTGAGTGGCTCTTTCTACTGCTCGGCTCCAGATTCTGGCCTGGCGGCAGGGTTCAGGCCTCATGGCGACGAGGGCGCTAAGGTCCACCTCAGCCTTCCTCCCACCACTGGCAAGAGGCTGGCACTGCCCCTGAGGCTTGGGCAAGCACTGAGCAGTGCTGCAGGGAATCCAGGATAAAATATGTCCCAGAATCATTCAGCCTGGGATCAGGACTTGAACTCTGCATTTCAGGGCTGTTCTACCCAATTCACATCACCCTACTTGAAAGGGCCACCACACTCAGGTGAGAGGGCTGTGTGTGTGGATAGGAGCTAGGGACAATATGGAAGTAAGAGCCTGGGTTAAGTCTGCAGTGAAGATCGACCCTTTGAGTTAAAGGTTTTGTGTGTGGATAGGAGTTGACTTAGGGGCAATACTCAAGTTATAACTTGTTAACTTTGCAGTAAAGACAAGCCCGAAGTTAAGCACTGCTAATTAGGAGGGTTTAAAAAAAACCAAAACACAACCAAACAAAAAGTGACAATAAAGAATAGAGTTCAACAGCAATAATGAAGGCTTCACTTGCCTCTAAAGATCAGCTGGAAACCAACACAGGAGGAGGAGGAGAAAGATAATTGTTACCAGTACATCTCTCAGAAATAATTTACATTTTTGGATCAACCAGAAATTTGGCTTGGCAGTAAGTGAAACTAACATGTAATTATTACTATTTATCTTTGTTATTGTGATAGCTCAGAGTGGCCAACCATGTTGAGGTCTCTGTCACAGGCACTGTACAAACAGAATAAAAGGACATTGTCTGTCCTCAAGAATGTATAGTCTAAAAGATGAGCATGGTAATTCTTAGTATTTACATGGTGCTTTGCATCTGGAAATTTCGTTACAAACATTGATTAAATTAATCCTCCTACTCCTTTGAGGATAGGTATAACATTACCACCAGCTTACAAATGGGAAAAATTAAGCATTAAAGCCGACAGAGAGAGTGGGCATTGGAGCTGGGATTATATTTCAGGAGTTCCTGGTTTATAGTTCTCACCATTAAACCATGCTGTTATCATAAAAAGTTTTCGCCTGCAAAAATTAAGGGTCTATTTTCATGTAGCCTCAAAGGAGCAGATGTATAAAAAGATTGATGCTTTGAGGTCAATTTCTAAAAGTCAAAACAAAACTTCCCACACTTCAAAGCTTTCAGCTCATTGCTATGAAAACAGAAAACAGCATCCAAAAGTGACAGGTACTGTAATATTTACAAGCTTCTGCCAGAGCAAAGTTTCTTAACTTGGATTAATTTGAGGAATCAGATTTAGTTTATGGACATGTGGGAACAACTTTGGCTTAGGCTGTTTTCCCACCCATATGCTTGAAGCTCACAAATAACTCTTGCCTTCAGTGAGTATATTCAAAAGGACATAGGATTCCATCTCACTTCCTTCCATTTATTTCCCCATCCTGACTAACAATTGATATTGGTACACTGCAGTGTTCTTGCCAGTCACATGACACATGGGGAGGGGGCAAGCGAGAAGTCCTTATAATTTCTTTGACTTCAGTGTTTAAAAGAACCAGCTGGATCAACACAGAATAAGAGGAAATGAAAACTGTTGGAACTTCAGAGTGGTCCTGATGCTTCTGAGTTGCTGACTTGGATGACAGTAAGCCCCCATTCCTACCCACACCACCATCAAGGGCAGGATTCTTGCCTGCTGAATTCATTAGAGCAGACCTATAACTCAGTGGGAAAGCACTTTCCCCCACAAGCTTAAGTTCCCAGTCTCAAACACAGAAAGCTACTTCTCAGAATTAACTGCACATACTGCAGACTCTAAAAGTGCTTGTTTTTTTCAAAAACACAGTTGCTAGTCACCAATTACTGACCTTTCTGGGGCTGCACAAATGCGCCGCATCTTTCTGATGAAAGCATCCTGCTTTCTCCACTAAGCCTCCGTTATCAGAGGGAAAGCAGGCTCCGCACAGCTGCTCAGCATCAGAACCCATGTGAGACAGTATGCAAATTTAGTGTTTGATGGCTGATCTCGATCCTGGTTCTCATCAGCATGAAACTGAGAGACCCAGTTATGTCATATAAGCCAAACCCTGTGTAAACAAGCACCCCAAGGTGGATTTAACCCATGGTAGCAATGCATTCCAGCATCAGGCATTATTGGATGCTGTCACCGTTTCTCAGTCAAAAAATGGTTTCCGGTTACCATAGGAAACCGTCACCAAGAGGGACAACAATGGTCATAACAAGAACTGGTCTAGAGAGGAGAGCAGATGAATGAGAGTCAGGAATCCTGAGTTCTAGTCCTGGCCCTGCCACGGAGTCACTCTGTGACACTGGGGCCTTATTTGCTCCTATCTGTAAACAAGGGGATAATAATTATTTGCATTACTCGCAGAGGTCTACTGAGGACTAAGTAATTATGTTTTTAAAGTGCTTTGAGATCTTCTAATAGAAGATGCCACCTCCCCAATATACACACCTACCTCGCCTTTTCTAGAGCTGTATTAGTTCTGCACGACTAATAGAAGTAAAAAGTAGTTCTGTTATATTTACTTTTGTCAGGAAAGTGAGGAGATATACCTCAGTACACACAGATAACAGGAGATGGTGCCACTTTTACACAGTCACTTTTCAGATTAGAGCTTCACATTAAAGTGTGATTGCCAAAGAATGTTTTTCAAGCAGATCTGGGGAGAATTACATGTTCACCCTCTCCCAATGACTAAATACAAGTGATTTTTCTGAATGCCAGTCCTAAGTAGTCAGCTTGGGATTTTAAAGTCAAAGTGGGCTCCTTCTGCCTCCGATCATGCATAAAGATTCAATTATCAGAACTATGGCTCATCAGGAAATGATAAGTATTTGCTGCACATTTAAAAAAAAAAGTCATCAAAATTTTCCATTTTTTCCCCAACAAAAAACATTTGTTTTGGTGGTTTTCAAAAGCCAAACACTTTTCAGTTTTATATTTTCATCTACACACTGAAAATTTAAAAAAAAATGAAAATGTTTATGGAAAAAAGGCCATTTTTCATCAAAAGAAATATTGCAAGGAAAAATGTCAACCAGCTCTGATCAGACCATAACGAAGAGCACTGATCATCCAACAGAAATACTGATGGTTTTGAAGGACAGTATAATCTTTTGTCCTCTGCTGTTGAACAAATGGCAGGGTCCCAGAGCTCAGGCTCCAGCCCAAGCATGGAAGTCTACACAGCAACGAAACAGTCCCGCAGCCCAAGCCCTGAGAGCCCGAGTCGGCTGGCACAGCCCAGCCCTGGGTGTCTAGTTGCTGTGTAGACGTATGTCCCATTTCCCAGCTCCATCCATGCACGTCACTGTGGTTTATGGATGACCTGAAGCAAGAGGGAGCAGAGCTGTTAAATAAGGAGGGACCATTTCTAACTACAAAACCTAAACAATATTTACTGGCTTCAATATCTACAGAATATTGTTAAGCACTAACCACTGACTGCAGGGGAACTACAATCTAGCATTCTTTTCTCCTGGAAATCCTCAGGGCTAATTTATTTATAATAATGATCAAAGAAAAGGTAATAAATTCAATCCCTGATAAACATAATTGTTAACAATATCTTTCCCCAGCATTTACAAAAACAAAGAAATCAGTGAAGAGATCGCTTTAAAAATCTAAGGAATGCCATGATGCAAGAGACTCACTAAATTCTTAAGCCCTCTTTTTACTCACTCTGAACTGGGCATTACAGAAGGCTCTTTTGTTTGTTTTTAGTACAATAGCAGCCTATGGCAGAGACTTGAATTTGGAAACACAACCAGGATGCCACTTGGCCAGATCAGAGTCCCCAGGTGTGTATCTGTCAGCTTAAAACAAACAAAGAAAAACAAACAAAGCAAGAAAAAGAATACTAACATGGATCGAACCTGAGAGGCTCACCTGCACTACATCTAAAGGGGGGAGAGGGATAGTCTTGCATCCAATCCAGTGCTGGAAATAGTTTTAGAATTTTTGTCATTGCTATTTGAAACAGCACCACCATTAAATCAGAGCTGAAATGTCAATGTGCCTTCTTGTTCTCTCCCCCCTTTGTCCTTATTTTTCATTTTCTGTCTTGATATGTTTTCTGCGGCACCTGCTTT